GAATCGGTGAATGTTCAAAGCGTGGAAGACACATATTTTACAAAATTGACTTTTTTTGCAAATTTGTATATTCAAAGGATAGCTCCATCTTTTTGTGTTAAAAAGGTGTCTGTCAAAAGTTTTCTCTAGCCTGTATAGTGTCTAAAAAAGTTCGGACTTCAGCAAAGGTTTTTTAAAAAAAAACAAGAAACTTTGCGCTGAAGACAGCATACCAAACGTAACTCACTTTCTTCTTTTGATTGTACAACAGCGTGGCGAATAAAGTTGATTTATTACGTGTGATCATTTTAATAGTGATTTAAGTTAATTAACTGCTTTTTTAAATGGTGATAGTGGTAGTGAGTCTAATTATACAAGTTATAAAAAAATATAAGAAAACCAGGTGGTTATAAAAAGAAAAAGATTAAGATATCTAGGCTTACTGGTGCGGCATATGAAAACCACAGGGACAAAAAGTTGATGCAAAGTCTATCGGAGATCCAAGCAGGTAAGAGATAATACACAATAATTCTTAATTTAATAATAAGCTTATTCCAAATTGCAATAATTCTAAAAAATTTTGGTCAGATTTAATTAACCTAGGTCTATAAGCCAGTTATAAATTACTTTGTAATTTATAACTGGCCTATAGACCTAGGTTGTTATTTGCCTGTTTAGGTTGTAAATATTTGTAGGCCTAAGACAATATAATGACATTTTTAGGGTAGTCTTCAATTACTTATCTTATATTAACTTAAACTCTATTTTGTTTCATAGACTAGGCTACCTATAATTTTTTTTACAAAGTAAAATTACAACATAGTGTTTTTTTCAGTTGTTCAAGAAAGTGTTTTGAATCTATTGGCAAAGATGATCCTCAACCTCAAGACAAATGCATCAAATGCAGGTTGATTATGCATTTATGAACTTTTACAGTCAGTTCAATACAAAAGATGAGCAGGATTTATTTTTCACGGCCTGATTAATATTACGGACATTGAGAAGAAGAGGCCTGGTTCAAGAGATAGCAAGGGAAAAAGTTGTGCTGCCAATGAAGATAATGTACAAAAAAGAAAAAGTAACGGCGGAAAAAAATTGAACTAAAGTATCACGTTTTAATCGGAGATGAGCTAGTACAAGTATGTGTTGTGGTATTTTTATCAATATTTTCTGTTTCAGAAAAGAGAGTTTAAATAGTAAGGGGTTTAAAAATGGATGGAAAAGCAGTTAAAGATTTTAGAAGAGTTTATACGAGTTACATTACCAGTCATGATTTACTAGCTAAGGTATACGCTCACATAGACTCCTTTCCATAAAAACTGATACACTCTCACGGAAAGGTAAAATATTTTTGATTGAAGATTTGAATGTTAAATTAATGTATGAACTATTCATGAAAAAAATGAAGGGGTAAAGTTTAGTTATAAGTCATATTATAACTACTACAAAGAACGTTTTCATTTACGTTTCGGACACCTGACAGACATCTATTAAATTAATGTATAAACTATTCATGAAAAAAATGAAGGGGTAAAGTTTAGTTATAAGTCATATTATAACTACTACAAAGAACGTTTTCATTTACGTTTCGGACACCTGACAGACACCTATTGAATTGCGAAGAGTTAAAGCTAAAGATAAAATCACCTCACTTTAATGAAGTTGCAAACAGAAAACAGTAGTAACTGAGTTAACAGTACGCGCGAAAAAATTTTACCAAGCCATAAACAAGATGTACTGGACGCTTGAAAAGATAAAAATGTAAATGTTTGTCCCTAGCAGTAGATTATATGCAAAACGTTAGTGTATTTTCTATTCATGATGTGAAGAGAAACGTTGCAACAATTTACCTTCATCACGAAGGCAGACTAGAAAGTCTCCAAATGAAACTTGCTCCTTTCTTTTGTACTACCTGTCTACCTGTCCTTAAGAGTGAAAAATGAACTTAACTTTTATGCTCATAATTGTGGGGGGAAAAATTAAGACCATTGCTTTTCAAAATTTATTATTATTAATTTATTACAGCGCTTACTGGCAATAAATGGATTAAAAAGGCCAATAAATTTTTCCCAATCAGAAGGCACAGCTTTTTGTTGTGACTTTTCGGTTATAAAAAGAGAGTTAAGAAGGCATGACTGAGTGTACAGCGTTCAATGAGAGATGATGATAAGATGAGAGAGTTCATCTCAAGTTTAAGATGTTCAAAGTTGGTGGCCAGTCCATATATAAAAAAAACGTTACCTCAATCAAAACACTGGGTAAACCCAGAAACAAACAAACTTAGTTTGCAATGAACAAATTTTACTATTTTTAATACGATTGTGACAAAATAGATCAAAGTAAAGCCAGTAAAATAATCAATGGTAGTGTCAAACATACTTTTATGATGAGAAAAAATAAACCTTGTAAACAAAGTGAACCTGCCATAACAGCCCAAACGGAAAAGTTCCAACAAGATCTGTTAAATTGAATGACTTAATAAAGTGTATAAAGTATATCCCTCATGATTATATTGACTTTTATAATGAACTACTGCCTAAAGCAGAAAGAAACGATGGAGAAGCAGAAGATGTTGGGGAAAATATTAAGCATAGCTGATAAAATTTATGTAATAGACCTTTTTTTCCTTACATTTTTTGTTAAAATGTGTAAACAATTCATAAATATACACTTTGTGAAGATTTATTGCAGTTTATGACATTATTTTCTATAGCCCCAAATTAAAATCATAATAAAATAAGCAGTAATTACTTATTAAATATTAAAAAAGCTGAAGTCTACAGTGTTAATTGGTTTATAGGTTCTTTATAAATATATATAAAAGAATATATGTTTACTTTTAAGATAAAAAACGCTATCCCCTTCAAAAAAAAATTGTTAAACCATTAATAAAAATTTTCTGAGTACTGTTTTTTTTTAGTTTCCCAAAAGTTTACATTGTTGGACTTCCGCCCTTTTAAGATTCACCGATTCAACTATAGACCAATCTTGGTACTCTCTACCTTTTCTAAGCTTCTCGAAAGAATCTATAACAGATTGTATGAGTATTTAATCCAAAATAAAATCCTAAATAAAAAGCAATTTGGTTTCCAAGAACAATATTCAACTGAACACGTAATTCAAGATCTAGTTAAAAATATAAGTGATTCTTTTGATAAAAAACAGTATGTTCTAGGTATCTTTATAGACCTGCAAAAGCGTTTGATACTGTAAATCATATCTTACTTAAAAAAAATCGAAAGCTGTGGGATAAAAAATATAACCATTGACTGGTTTAAAATCTAAGCAACAGACAACAATGTGTTTTTTCAGATATGTAAACACTCAAAACTACTAAGAGTTAAGTGCGGTGTCCCCCAAGGTTCCATTCTTGGACCTCTTCTGTTTCTTCTATATATTAACGACCTTACAAAAGTCTCGGAAAAACTTGATGTAATTATGTTTGCCGATGACACAAACTTATTTTATTCCTCGAACTCAATCAAAGACCTTTATGAATGTATGAACAATGAGCTTAAAAGATTAAATATATGGTTGAAATTAAATAAGTTATCACTAAATACAGAAAAAACAAAATAAATATTGTTTCATTCCAAAAAACAAAAAAATTATATATCAACTATCCTTTCCTCACTAAAAATAGATAAGGTAAACATTAAAAGAACAGAAACAACTAAATTTCTTGGGATATTTATTGACAAAAATAAACCTTGGAGAAACCTTGGAGCCCATATAAGTACAATAAACACCAAAATTTCAAAAAATATTGGGATACTCTGCAAAGTTAAATCTATGTTGTCCCAACATAATTTTAAATTGCTTGATTTTTCTTACATCCAAAGTTATCTTACGTACGCTAATATTACATGGTCAAGTATAAACAAATCCAAATTGAGTACTACACTCTAAAAACAGTCCGTTAAAAAAAGTAACAGATTGCGCTTTTTTGTCAAACTAACGGATTAATTCGTTGCCAAAAACCAGAAAATTAACGGAGTAAAATTATCTATTTACGGATTCTTTGAAATTTCGTTAATTCAACGGATTAAATATTGTTATCGGTCAAAAAAAAATTTTCAGTCTATTATATCTTTTTATTTTGAAAATGATAAAGTTTTGAATGCGTTTTTCTCACATTTACATTTACATCGTAGATAAAAGTTGGTTGCAGTAAGTGTAATATGCCATTTTTTAAAAAGCTTTACATTTAGTAGACAAAGCAAATGGATAAATATAATTTAAATTACGCTATGTTATTTCGAAGGTTATTTAACTTATTTTAAATTTTCTATATAAAGCTTTATACAGAAAATTTAACAATAAGGTTTATTTTATTTTAAATTAAAAGCCGTTAGTATTACTAAATAATATATAATAACATATATGGTAAGTTAATACATATAATATATGGTAAGTTACTACATGTCTAAATCTAGAAAATTATGTAAGAATATATGCAATCCATATAGTCTATATTATAGAAATAAAAGTTCAACTAAACCTTTACTAGTAGTAAAGGGTTAGTTGAACAATTATTTCTATAATATAGACTAAATGGATTATTTATAGTCTTGTTTAACTTTATATTTTAGACATATGACATGTAGTAACATACCATATTAGTTTAAATCAGTTGTAAAATTAAAAATGTTAACATCTTTGATATAACTTGCATATTTATTTAGTTGAGTTTAATCTAAGTTTATATCTGATGTGTTTGTATTATTTTAGAATTTACTGTTTTAGACACGTGGCATGTGGTATCCCACTGTAAGTTTGAATTAGTAAATTTAAAAAAATTGTATTTTAACTTGCATTTCTTTTCGCGTGCATATTTTTTTAGTTTAGTTAAGACTAAGTTTATATCACACTTTTTTAACTATTATTCTACTTTGTTCTATATTCACTATTATTTTAGAATTAGCTATTTTAAACATGTGACAAGCGGTATGACTCTGTAAGTTTAAATAAGTTGTAAAATTATTTTTTTTATATAGTTACTTGCGTTTTTTTGGTCTGCATATTTAATCTTGTTTTGATTTATCATAGTTTTTAAAAGGTTAGAGACTTTATTTTTTGCTCCTGATAGGTATTGATGTATGTGAAATGTATAGAGTCTTTTAGTTATCAAATAATGTCAAGGTAATCTTATACTTTTTTTTTAATTTACATTTTAATAAAGATATAATTTACTTGTTCCATTTAACTTTATCTTTAAAAAACGATATCAGAGATAATTAAAATAACAAAATTTAGAATAGAAATTTATATATAATGAATTACCAAAAACATTTTCTATAGTGCTATCAGTAACATTTTATTTTGGTTCTATACTAGGTATGTTATTAATTTTCCCTATTTTCCTTATTTTATTTTATATTAATATTTAAGGAGTTGACAGCATGGTGTCCGATTTAAAGTACGAACCTGTGTACGAGTAACAACAGTATTCAAAACCAAAACCTATTTAAACCAACCA